GCCTTAGCCGCTTGAGCCACAGGTGCTGAGCCCAGAGGTAGTTTTGAGATCTGACCTTTGCATAATCTTTTGGACATTTTAAACCCTTTCCCAACTTTCACCTCATCAAACAACTGAGGGCTATCAATGTCACTCCTGTCCTTCCAAGTCCTTTGCTTTTTCATCTTCTAAAGTGAGGGTGGCATTAACCTCTGCATTCACTTCTTCCTTCATCCAGTCACACTCCACGCTGGTAACTCACCGGATTGGTTCCCTATTGGTGCTGCAACAAATTACCACAAAATCAGTGGCTTAAGACAGACATTTATTATCTTAATAGGTCTGGATGTCTGAAATCCAAAATGGGTATCACTAGGCTAAAAATCAAGGTAGGCAAGGCTGCAATCTTTCTGGAGGCTCTAGAAAATAAACTTTTCTTGTCTTTTCCAGCTTCTAGGTGGTTGCCCACATCCATTCCCCTTTCATATTCAAAGCCAGCAATGGCCACTTGAGTCTCACATCATGTGTCACTCTGATATTCTGTGTCATTCTTGCAATAGGGGTCCTCAAACTTTTCAAATAGTAGGCCAGTTCACTGTCCCTCAGACCACTGAAGGGCCAAACTGCAGGCTCCAGGATGAGTCAGCTGTTAAGCAGGACAGGCAGTGGCAGCAAAAACACCCAGCAGGCCTGATAAATCTCCTAGGCAGACCGCATGTGGCCCGCGGGCTGTAGTTTGAGGACACCTATTTTTGCACATTTAAAGATCATTCTGATTACAGTGAGCCCCCTAGATCTCCTGGGATCACCTCTCCGTTTTAAGTTCAGCTGATTAACAACATTAATTCCTTATCCTATCTTAATTCTCCTCTGCCACAGAATACATTCAGAGGTTCCAGGCATAAGGATCTGAATTTCAAGAGGCCGTTATTCTGCTTGCCACACCCACCACATGTGAGACACTGGGGACGCAGCATGAAAAATCAGACACAGTCCCCAGTCCAATGGGGTTGACATTGTACAGCAGGAGAGGGTTTGATGCAGCCTCCAGCAGTGGGAAATGCTATGAGAGTACGTAAAGAATAGTGGGGACAGGGCAATGGCAGGATGGAGTAGTTTAGATGGGGTGACCTGGAAGAAGTAAGGAAGTATCTGGGGGAGCCCTTCTAGGCAGAAGAAAAGCAAGTGCAAAGACCCAGAGGCAGAGGAGTTCTGACATGTTTGAGGAACAGCAGAGTGGCAGGCTGTGACGAGATCCAGGACCCACCTGGACTCAGCCACTGCCCCATTGTTTGGTTTCAAGGTATATCCCACCTCGCCTGGCCTCATTTTCCTGATCTGTACAAAGTGTGACCAGAGCAATCCTTCAAATGAGTTTGTGTCCTTGAAACTTTGCTGGTGGCATGGTTGCTTTGGAGAGACTCCCAGGACAGGTTTCTATGTAAACTGCCAGCTTTGGAGGAGTGGAATCCTTACCTCTCCTTGAACCTTCCCCATAACATCTTAGAGTAGATTACAGTACAGCAACCTGCTCAGTTCTACCTCTTACATCTGATATTTTCTGTACACTTTCTCGTTCCATTCTTCACAACTTTACGATCTCAGCGCCAACATTACCACCTCAGGAAGACCCTTCCTAAACTCCTTTGTGTAATAGGTATATTCTTACAATACTATCTCTCTTCCACAATAGTTGTAACTTTACATTTGTTTTTGGTCAAATTTATCTGTCTTTTCATCTGTGATTTATAGTTTTTTCTGTTTGTTTCTTAAGGATACCTTCTCTTCGGTGATTACTAAGATTATTTTCCTTTATTTCCATCTAAATGTTTTAGAATTTTGCTCTTCAAATTTATCTCTTTAGTCCTATGTTGCACACTCATTTTATAGTGGGGGAAACAGGGCCACAAAGAGCAACTGGCTGCCCAAGATGATGCTTTTGCCCCCTTAAAATGCCTTATAACAGATCTCCGTTTTATAGCTAAGGCATCCAAGTCCAGAGAAGTGACAAAGGTTGGCCAAAGCCCTAGAACTAAAAGAGTAGGTGAGGAGGCCAGGCGCAGTAGCTCACACCTATAATCCCAGAACTCTGGGAGGCCGAGGTGGGCAGATTGCCTAAGTGCATGGGTTCGAGACCAGCTAGTGAGACCTCGTCTGTAAAAAAACAAAAAAGCCAGGCATTGTGGTGGGGGTCTGTAGTGCAGCTACTTGGGAGGCAAGAGAATTGTTTGAGCCCAAGAGTATGAGGTTGCTGTGAGGTATGACACCATAGCACTTTACCAGGGGGTGACAAAGTGACAGTCTGTCTCAAAAAAAAAGTAGGTGATGGGTGGCGCCTGTGGCTCAAAGGAGTAGGGCCCCAGCCCCATATATTGGAGGTGGCGAGCTCAAGCCTGGCCCCAGCCCAAAAAAAAATGTAGGTAAGGAATGGCTCTGAAGCTTGGGCATTTAAATGTTTTTTACACTGCCAGTGGTATATATACCCCCCCTTTTTTTTTTGAGAGAGAGAGAGTCTTAGTATGTCACCCTCAGTAGAGTGCTATGGTATCACAGCTCATAGCAATCTCGAACTCTTGGGCTTAAGCAATTCTCTTGCTTCAGCCTCCCAAGTAGCTGGTACTATAGGTGTCTGCCATAACACCTGGCTATTTTTTTTTTTTTGTAGTTGTTATTGTTGTTTAGCAGGCCCAGGCCAGGTTCAAACCCTCAGTGCCCACTTAGCTACGGGCACCAAGCTTATACTCTTTGTTTTTGCTGTTACCACTTAGTACATCTTGCTAGGTGATGCTTTTGCCTCCTTAAAACACATCCCCATGTCTTTCTATATCAGGACACAGAGCACTTTTTTCCTATAGTGGTAAATTACATTTCATGGCTATAATTCATGAATTAGTCCCCTATTTGTGGCACTTCAGTTATTACTGATCTTTGGCCACAACCGCCACACTGCAGTGAACAGCCTTACCTTTATGCCTTTTTCACATGTGTGAGCTTATAGAATAAATTCCTACAAGTGGAATAGTTGAAACAAGCATGTGTGTATTTACATATTTTAGATAAAGTCATATGGTCAAAATGGAGATACCAATTTAAATTTTCAGCAACAATAAGGAGCGAGCCTTTCCCCCCACAATCCTCAGTAACCTAGGGTACTAGCAGACTTCTTACCTTTGTCATATAAGATGTGGGTGGGGAGAACCAGAGGTAGTACTGTCAAACCAGATGGATCATTTGGGACCCACTGCTAAAACTGGTTGACACCTTGCCATCCCCAAAGCACGTGAGCAAAGAGTTCCTTAGTCTTCTAAATTTGAGCCCAATATCAATGGCCAATTTGTCCTTGCCAGTTATCTGGAACAGGAAAGCTCCTATAGCCGGGGTTAGAAATCCCGCGTCTTCATTGACTGGACCTGGCGACAGAGGGGGCTAGTGAGAGAAGGGGACAGCTCTCTCTCTCTCCCTGGCCCTCCACCTGGTGGTGGCTGCGTTGATGAAGGAGCAGGAGGCGTCTCTGGCCAAAGGCCTGGCCGCAGCTGGAGCATCCGTGTCGGGTGGTGACCTGGTTGCATGGCGCTGTTGGAGGATCGTGACATAGGCGATGGGCGGCCAGCTTGGAAGGAAATGAGAAAGCCTTGGGGCAGTGCGGGCAGGGATAGGGGCGGGCGTCTGTGGCGTGGTGCGTGTGGCGGTGGGCCGCCAGCTTGGAAGGGTAGCAGAAGGACTTGGGGCAGTCGGGGCACGGGTAGGGGCGGGCAGGCGCGTGTGTCCAGAGGTGAGCCGCCAGCTTGGAGCGGTGCCCAAAGGCCTTTGGGCAGTGTGGGCACAGGTGTGGGCGGGCACCACTGTGAGTGAGACGGTGGGCTGCCAGCTTAGAGGGGTAGGAGAAGGCCTTGGGGCAGTCGGGGCACGGGTGGGGTCGGGCGCCGCCGTGTGCTAACCGGTGTGTGGCCAGCTTGGACGGGTATGAGAAGGCCTTGTCACAGTCCGGGCAGCGGTGTGGGCGTTGGGGCGGGGGCCGCCGGCAGGGCCGGGAAGGCGTGCCCACGGATGCGATGGGCCGCGGAGCCAACTGACTGGGCTTCTGCGGTGAGCCCTGGTGGAGAACTGGGGGACAGGAGGACTGGTGGGGTTCAGGAAGCTGCCAATGCCCTGGGCCTAGACCAAGTTCTATCACCACTGTGATTATTGAGGGGCCCCTCAAAGTGTATCTGGGGACCTCAGGTGTCAAACTGAGATTCCCCAGTGGCACGTTTCTGCTCCCCCTCGCCACCCCCTCCCCGCCGCCGTGCATCATCCTGAGGGGCTCTAAAGGGTTACCTTCCTGGGTACCCTGCTAAGGCATCCTCAAAGCTAATGTATCCGTTTTAGTATTTTCTCAGTGATCACCCTGAGATCCCACGTTATTCCCGTTTCTCTGTAGTTTGAGCCCCAGCAAATGATCGCTGAGAGTCCCCCAAAGCCACATGGAGAGTTCCCCAGAACGTCGCATTTTGGGGGATCCTAAATGGTCATCACCCTGGGCCCTCAAACTTTTACCATTAGATTCCCCTGAAATGTGATTCTAATAGCCCCCATTCCTGGAAAATGCTCCTTACTCACAGGTAGGGCCACTTTCACCTCCTCCTTTGGTCACCAATTTCTTGTCAGTCAATACCCTGGTGGGCCTGGCCACGGACTCCGCGCCTCGCTTCAGCATCTTGCTGGCACAGGAACCTCGGGGGCAGAGCATGGGACAGAGGATGACGCCGTGATTACCAAGCTGATGAGGCTGATGTTGGGCCTAGAATCGGGAGTCAGTCTGTTTAGGAGTGGGGTTTGGGGCGAGGGCAAGCAGAGCAGGAAGGTGGAGCCTAAAAACACGCAGAGCCGGGCTATGCAAATATAGCCAGAGTCAGACCTTTTGCAAATTAAAACCCAGGGTTGGAGCTTTTGAGCAGAGTAGGCGGGGCCTCTACAACTCAAAGTCAGAGGCCATACACAGCGCGCAGCGGGCAGGACCACTAGATCCCACCCTGGCCGCGGTATCTAACACGGAATCGGCGGAAGCATGCTAGTAAAACCAAAGTCTCTGAGCTCTGCTACTTAGACCCAGGGACCGAGCTTTCAAGCGAAGTGGGCGCGTCTTTTCCCACCGTCCCAGGGGAGGGGCCCATGCTCACAGTGGGCGGGGTTTCGTGTCGAAGAAGGAGCTTTACCTGGCTTTTTCACTTAGTCTCAGTCCATTCATGCCGCGTCAAATGCGATGTTATTGCAGCGAAACTTGATCCTGGCGTGGAGTTGGGGCTGTGGAGGATAGAGGGGAGACCTGGAGGAAAACACAGAAGGAAAGTAGCGTGAGTTGTGATCTAGACACCCCTAATGGACTTTCCCCCAAACGTCCGCGACTCAATGCAACATTCGGGCACCAATGCACTCTCCTAAGGCTCAGGCACCAGTGCAAAGTCCCTCCCAAACCTAGGCATCCGGACCCTAAATGATCCCACTCCAAGAGATGCCTCCTGGCATCAAGCTCTCAATCCATTTAGGTGCGGAACTCCTGTCCACTCACCTGCAAGACGGCTCCTCCCCGGGGGCGGGGCTCCTCCCGCCCCTGTCGGAACCGCGCCCACAGCTGCTGCGGCCTCAGCGCCGCCCTCGAACCCAGCAGAGCTGCCCAGCCTGGGCGCGCGCCCGGCGATGAGGGAAGAGAGGCGAGGGAGCGCGCGCGAGCTGCTGGGCCCAGCCTCTTTTCCAATCCTTCCTCCCACGCTGGAGCGCTGGGGCCGTCAGCACGCATGCCCAGTCGCGGCCAGTCGCGTCTGCAGAAGAGAAGACGGAATCCAAGAAGGTGCGGGACGCTCTAGGCCGGCAAGTTCGTGACCAAACGTGAAACTACCGGCTGAAATGCCCGTAGGGTAGTGCACAGCTGGTTGCGGGACCTACGGAGGCTGACTGGAGTCAATCGCGTGCAAGATTAACACGAACTGCTTTCGGAGATCAATGAGACTGCTCCCAGCGTATGCACCCCTCTTTTCATGTCCTTCTTTTCGAGAATTCCCCTGAGCCTGAGTTCCACCTCCAAAAACAGTTTCCGGAGAGCGTAGTCCGTTCCTCCCTTCAAGGCATTTGCAAAAAGTCTAGACATTACTTGGAGAGAGGTCGGGGGCGGGACTCTGGTCTTAGAGGGAGCTGGTGCCTAATCAAAAGGCTCGTCATTTGCATAGTCCTCCGGTACGCTTCACCATTGGGTGATTTAAGATTCTCAGTCACCTCCCCCTCTACCTCCTTTTCCGCAGCTAGGGTAGCCCCGAGGTGCCCAGGCTTCTGGTGCCAGGCCCAGGATGGCACGCAGTTTGGCATTCTTCCCAGGTGGCGACAGTGCACTGTCCTGCTCATTGCCAGAATGACCCTGTAAGTGCCCAGAAAAGTCCTCTGCTTGGGTGGGTCTCTAGTGTAATAACCCACAAGGTCTGGCGATCCCTGGGAGCCGTGGAACTCATTTAGCTGGTTATTTGGACTCTGGAGCCACATTACCTGGGTAACTGGTTTGGAATCTTGGCTCTGCCACTTTCCAGCTGTGCGACCTTGGGCAAGTCATTTCATCTTTCTGGGCCTCCATCTCCTCATCTATAAAATGGAGAGTTGCTGGAATTAAATACGATAATCAATGGCAAGTGTTTAGAATACAAAGTGCCTAGAATGCGTAATAAATGTTATCAATATACTTTTTGTTTTGTCTCGGCACCTGTAGCACAGTTGTTATGGCGCCAGCCACATGCACTGAGGCTGGCAGGTTTGAGCCTGGCCGGGGCCAGCTAACCAACAATGACAACTGCAGCAAGAAAAAATAGCCAGGCACCTGTAGTCCCAGCTATTTGGGAGGCTGAGGCAAGAAAATCACTTAGGCCTAAGAGTTTGAGGTTGCTGTGAGCTGTTGACACCAGACCACTCTACCGAGTGCAACATAGTGAGACTGTCTCAAAATATATATATATAATATATACATATATATATACTTTTTGTTTTTACTATGCATTAAACTAGGCCTCATGAGGTCAGAGTTGTTCTGAGAACAGCTGCACAGACCTCAAAGTAGGAAAGAGTATGCTGTGTCCAGGGGGTCTTCCCTACTATGTACTACCATGCTCCACACTGTGGTCTTCTTGCACATGCCATGATCAGCTCTACCTCAGGGCCTTTGTACTAGCTGTTCTCTCTATTTCCAGTGCTCTTTCTCTCTCTCTTGCCTGAATCCCCCCTCAGGTGTCAGTTCAAATGTTAGCACAGCAGACATCTCCATCCCTCTGTTGTCTTTTTTCCCTTGTATGAACTTAACACTATATACCTGTCTTCTAGAATGCATGCTCCATTAAGATCGACACTATCTGTTCGTCTGTCCCAGGACAAAGCTTAGCACATAGTATTCTATAAATCTGTGTAGAATAAATATTTTAAAGAATTAACAACCAGGGAGGCTCCTGTGGTTGAACCTACCAAGAGTGGTGGGTTCAAGCCGGGTGTTGTGGTGGGCACCTGTAGTCCCAGCTACTCGGGAGGCTGAGGCAAGAGAATCACCTAAGCCCAAGAGCTGGAGGTTGCTGTGAGCTGTGAT